CTCCAGTTTCTTCTCCACTGTGAATTTTTAATACTTTATAGCTTCAGGATGTTGCCTGACTTCAGCACTTAAAGCCTACAGCTTAGGGGGAGGCCAGGCAGTAATTTAAAGCTGAAACTTCCTCTCATCCCACTCCTTTGCAGATTTTCTAAGAACCAAATAGTGATTTGTTTTTTCTTGGTCTTGAACTTAAAGCACTGGCAACATCCCCCCTACTGTGCTAACCAGAAAATAAATGGCACATGCTCATGTGAGATGACTAACATGTAGATCATGTAAGAGAAAATCATTTGCTGCTGTTTTATGGCAAATAGTACTTATTTTATGTTTGCTCTGAAACAGGGGTGTCAAGCTCATCTGGCCCCAGGGACAGATGAGTGGCATGGGGCTGGTCCAAGGTTAGGCCCTTGGAATTTTTGCCTCCCTGATCAGCACTGTGCCTGGACTCCTGGCAGCCCTGGGTGAACTTTTAGTATTGGGCCCCCCTTCGCCAGAGATCATGATAATAATTTAAAAATTACCATTTCCAGGCTGGGCCCCGGGTGGCTGCACAGTTTGCCCATGCCTGTGTCCAGTCCTGTCCCCGATCCAGCACAGCTGGCACCCACCCAGGCTAGTTCAGGGCACCTGCCCAAGTGGGCACTGCGTGGCACAACTCGGGACCAGTCCCAGCCAGTGCCAGTGCACATCTCGGGCATTGTGTGCTGGGATGGTCAGGCATAGGGGCTGGATTATGGGGCTTCACAGGCCATTTGTTGGAGATCCCTGCTCTAAAGAATGACACCTGAAACTTGTTTTAAACAGTTTGATTTCAGAAACATAACTTTAAGTTTTTGTATCCTCTCTGTATTTGTTTTGTTTTGTACTTTAAAAGGAAAAACAAACATTATAGAGAGAGAAATTCAACCCTGCAGTGGAGGTGCTGCCTGTGTTGCACTGAAAACTTTGAAAGAGTACACTCCCCCTGGATATGGGTGTGCTGTTTAGCTAGTGGATTCTGCTAAAGATGAAGCTGATACAACTGTTTACTCATGAGCAAATATTGGCAAAAGAACTCTGTTGGAAGTCTTGGTTTGAAAGATGATGTTACAGCTATTAATAGCTTTTCATACACTGTAAAGACAAACTTCCTCAGGAATGAGGAAAAGAGAAAGTAAGGCAAAAAACCAACACACAAGGAGCAGGAAGGGAGGGACTTTCAACTTTCAGTAGACCACAGCCTTTACCAGAATTTGTCAGCTACTTCTAGAGCAGCATTTCTCAACCCATGGGTCACAAGAATGTATGAAAGGACACACACACGCTTTAAAAATAGATCATATTTTGCATACATTTAAAAAAAAAAAACAAATGCTGCTTTACCATATGTTAAAGCTGTGCATAGTAATAAACAGGGATCCAGGATTTCTGTTTGCCTTGAAAAACATGGATGATCTCTTTTTAAAGGAGAAATACATAGGAAACTGGGTTTCACCTTGCAGGCTAACAGGCTCTACCCCAGAGGGAAAAGGGGGTGATGGGCAGTGCAGGTGGCCTGAGGGGAGTGGTGGCCGTGACCAGGTCATGGCAGCAGGATAGAGCTGCGTCCTGGTGTGCAAGCGACTGGCAGCGGGAGGAGATGAGGGTAGTGCAGCTCCCTCCCATCCATTACTCCTTGCAGGGGTCCCAGTGGCAGGAGCAAGTCTTGCCACCCCACTCTGCCCTCCCATGCTGGGTCCGCCTGCTGGGCCACGGAGGTGATTCCTAATCATGCCAGTCTGCAGCCTCATGCCTGTTGCAGGTGCACTCTCACCCTGCACACCCACCCCCTGCCCGACACTGGGAGGCTGGGGCCTGGGGGCAGCAGGGCAGGGTTGGGGTTGGGAATGGGAATGAGGAGCACTGGATGGGCCAGGGGCTGTTTTCTACTTGAAGTATTTACTGGGTCAGGACTGGCCATCAATGATTACAAATGGCTTTTGGTATAAACAAGTTTGAGAACCACTGATCTAGAGCACCACAGGGGGAAAGGTGCCTCTAACTGAGTGTGAATTGGACAGTCATGGTATGGAGGTGAAGGGAGAGGCTGAAGTTTCCCAGTTAGTGACCTGGGAGATTTCTCGAACATTAGTTTAGGATGCAGTGTATTTGAGCTAGTTAAGTCTGTGCACCTGCCTGCCACTGCCCCTTTCTCCATACATGGGGTAGGCCTCGGTCCCCCCCTCCTTGCACTGTTTCCCCACCACATTCTCCTGCCACAACATCACGTTCTGTCAGTGGATAGGTCCCATGGGTGAGGTAGGTTGGGAAGGAAGAGGTCCTACTGGCCAAACTTAGTGCCTCCCCCAGCTGCAACTCCTCAAGGGCTCCTGGTGGAAGGTCTCTTAACAGCAGGTTGTCTGCTCAGCAGCATTCTTTAGACCCATTCTGATTGCTTGCCTGCATGAGCTTCCCTGACAGGAGCTGTTGTCTTCCACTGATTAAGCAGCTCTGTCCCCACAGTGCTGAGGCCCTTTCCTTATCTCTCTCTGAGGGCAGGGCTTCCTATTACATTTTATTCCTCATAAAAGATCCTTCCTGGATCCTGGTTGCTTCTCTTGAGGGATAATTACCATATTTACACACATGCCATGTGCATTGATGGACACCAGCTAGCCATGGTTTCATAAGACAGAGTGGGAAAAAAACGTAATTTTTTTGCCAACAGCATAAACACGGGCTAGTGCAGGGGAGGAGAGCAACAGCCTGTGGCTGCTCCATTAACCCTCTACTGGCTGGTTGGCTGCAGGCATTTCTCCCTCAGCAGTCACAGCTGCAGCAGCAGGATCTGTCCCAGCAACAGCTTGAGGGTGTTCCTTCAGCATGTGCACAGAAAGTAACACCACAAGCTTTAAAATGGATATTTTGCATATATTTGTGAAAAAAGCAAATGCTGCTTGTGCTGAAGGAGCTCCCAAGCTGCTGCTTGACCAGACCCTGCTGCTACAGATGCTGCTACTAAGGGAGGAATTGCCCACAGCCTTGCAGTCAGTAGCCAGGGGGTTAATAACTACCCCCGACTCCTTTCCTGTTGCTCTCCCCTCCTGCAGCTGCCCATGGTAATGCTGCTCACAAAATAAGAAATAGTGGAGCTGAACCCCAACTTGCCAGAACATAGACTTATGTTGAGTCAGTAGCAGCTTCCGCAGCATCTGCCTGGGGGAGTATAAGGGGGGAAAGGGAAAAATAAAACTATGCTGCATGAAGGCTTCTGTTGTCCACAGCCAGCAGCTAGGGAGCCCAAATGTGTTCGCTGTGCTGTGCCCTGAGTGGCACATGCATGGTTACTCTCCCTTTTTGACAGCAGAGGCTTCTGGTTGCTGCAGAAGCCACTGTTGACCCAACACGAGCTTGTGTCCTGGCAGCACCTTGAGAAGGTCCCAGAGTTTAGCTGTATTTTCTCACTTACCAGTCCTGTGCCCCCCACCCCCAATTTTCAGCAACTGATTTATTTTAAAAAGAAAAGAAAAGTGGGGTATGTGAGAAAATATGGCATGCACTGTCATTCTTCCTCTTAGCTATAGGTTATGGAAGCAGATAGGTGAATGTTTATATGAATAATTTAACCGAATCGGTAGTCACCCTGGTGGCTGCAAAGCTAAATACCTAGTCAGGATGTGGAATTATTTTTAATAACTACATTGATTATAAGAATTGAATGAGCATATAAATATGACACCAGTGCAGCAAAATCTATTCCGGGTTTCTAAACCAAGGTAACTGTCAAGTCAATCCGTGTTTATATAAGATATTCCCTTTAAGTCTGATCACTCTCCTGTGGGAAGGATGTTATAACTATAGCATCATAACACAGTTGTGGAGGATCTGCAAAATGTTGGACGTGCCAAAACTCTTTGCTAACATACCCATAGATTTCTCCAGTATATTTGGCTTCAACAAAGCAATGATGGGTTTAGAGTAGCCCTAGTTAGTGATTATTGACTATGTCTAAACTAGATCCAATTAAATATTTGAAGAGTTTTTATAGTAAAGAGAAATACTCCTGTGAGTGGACTACTTTTATGTTAGTCATGTGCAAAACAGGAAAGGGAGTAATGTTGGTAGAGTTAATAGGTGTGGGGAGTTCTAGATCTCTCTTCTTTTTGGCTTGTATTGTAAATGCAAAGCCTCTTGTTGGCATTGAGATGCCTGCTTGTAGTCCTAAAGCAATCAAACTTCTCCCTTCCAAGCTATTCCACATGAAGTCCACTCACATGAAGCAGTAGAAAGGACTGTGGTCTTAGAACAACTATAAAACTGCATACTTTTCCATAGGCAGTTCAACATGGCATTGGCTTTGGAGTGCACAGCCATATTTAACTTGTCATGTTCTAAGTATTTTGGAAAATATTATGGATTTTTATGGATCTTACTTTTAATTTAAATATCGACCATGGGCTCTTTGTCCCTGGATGTATTACATTTAATTTTTCAGGTTGAGTCTCGTGGCATTTCTTGACTATAACTTTGTCTTAAGGCTTTGTCTTTCCCTCCCGTGAATGATGAAACCATTTACTAACAGAAGAAATAAACTATTTTTATCTGCTATTTTTTCTTTAAGGACATTTTTCCCAATCTAGTCCTTCCCTAGAAAATGTACCAAGAAGGATAAACATACAGTAATTAAAACAAAAGAAATCAGTAAGCTTTTAGTAAAACTAGGTATAGTTAACAATTCATGTAAATTGTTGCTTTGGGATATTTGTTTAGGAAAGAGGTCTCAAACTGCCCCTCTTCCTGTTGGGCAATTCCAGATAGACCATTCTGAAACTATCTTTAGTTCTTATTAAAGGGAGAGAAGCAACCCTTCATTAAAATTAGTGTGGGAAAGTTACTTCTGAAAAAAGACGTTTTGTACAGTTTCTAGTTAACATTTCTTCTTTTTACGATCCCTAAAAATTCATGCACTGTATTAAGGGACAACTGTAGAAAAAGAGGGGTTTGGGATAAATATATGACTGAATAAATGTTTTGCTTTACAGGTTACATGTCTCGCTTGTGACAATAAATCAAATACTATAGAACCGTTCTGGGATCTGTCACTGGAGTTTCCTGAGAGGTACCACTGCAATGAGGAAGAAATGGCATCTCAGCACCCCTGTTTGCTAACAGAAATGTTGGCCAAGTTTACAGAGACTGAAGCTTTAGAAGGAAAGATATATGCATGTGATCAGTGCAACAGTGAGTAAAGGCAGTATGTACTCATGTATATAGTATGTTATATGTTTTCCATGTAAATATTAATTAACATAGGCATTAAGACCATAGGGAAGAAGAAACAGTAATTAAAAAGGTTAAATCAACAGTCTGTACTAGGTGCCTTGATGTAAATAGCTGAAGTGTTTTTCTTTCTCAAGTGAATAACCTGGAAGTATTCCGAAATGTTCAGGGGCATTTTGTATTGCCAGGCATTCTAAAATAATCCTTATGATCTGGATCCAAAAACATGCATTTGTATTAAGGTGACTTTATGTTAATATCATCATTTAGAGTTTAAATAGTGGGTAAGTCTGGAAGTTAAATGTGAGCATATTTAACAACTGGTATTTAAAACTGTGTTGTCCAGAGTATGATATATTTAGTATAACTTAATGTGTGTGTTTGATCACAGCAAAACGCAGGAAGTTTTCTTCCAAACCAGTAACACTCTCAGAAGCCCAGAAACAGCTTATGGTATGTCGACTACCTCAAGTTCTAAGACTACACCTTAAACGATTCAGGTAAGCAGAGTTAGGAATTATTTCCAGATGTTACAAACTAATCTTTTGGGAAGAATAGTCCAGTCATTGTTCCTCCATGCTCTCTGTCTAGTGGGGCAGCAAGCAAAATCACCAATTGGAAAATATTTCTAAATAGTCTGTCTTGAACAGGAGTGAGTAAAATAGATGTGGGCTGCCAAGGGATTTTATCTGGCCCACAGTGGGTTCCTCATCCCTGTCTGGCCCAGGGGGGAGCCTGTGCTGTGGCACATGGGGCTGATCCTATCACCCCGGGTGCACAGCAGGACTGGAGTGGCGCAACAGCTAGACTCAGCTTTCCGGCAGCCCTGGTGGTGGTGGCTCCTTGTGGCTGCTACTGCCAGTGTCACTGCCCTGCGATCCTGGCGCCTGCTCATCCTGCTCCCTGCCCACCCGTGGCCCCATCCTATCTGTCCAGCCAAGCTGGAGTTCTGGGCTAGTCTCCATGTAGACCCCACCCATCTGCTATCTCCAGCACCCCAACAATGGTTGCAGGGCAGATGGGCCCAGGCAGACAGGATCAGTTACCACCTCCACCCCCTCCCCCCAACTGCTATGCCAGGAAGGGTCAGCACCCCCCCAAAAACTCCTTAAGTAGTCATCCAGCCCAAATGATTGCCCACCCCTGCTCTTGAAAATGCTATTTAAGTTCCTTAGTATAAGGACAAATAATTTCCAGAAAACTGTTTCTTGGCAATAGCATTCTATTTCTCATATTGCAGGCACAGAAGTGAGGTTTCTGTTCCCACTGCTTCCCAATAATACCAAGAAAAAATTAAGAGATTCTGAATTTTGAAGACCTCAACCATTCATTGTTTTCTCTATGAGAAAGTGAGACTTAGGGATATCTATATGCATAGTAAGATACAGCTGTTACATTAAATAAAACAAACTACATACAATTCAGTATTTTGATTTGTGATCTAGCACTGATACCATGAGAGTTTACTAAACACTGAGGGGTCATAGCAATATATGTAAAATTGGGGATTATGTTCAGTGGTGTGATTTCAGGTCCACATGCAATCTACTGAGGCCTTGTGCAACCTGCAGTTCACAGTCGTCTTACCAAACTTGAACTAGAATTTTTCAAAGGGTGCTAACAGGACAAGCCAGGGACTAGAGATCAAACCCAAACCTGCATCTTAATTTGGGGTGGGGAGGGTACAGAATGGCTCTTGAATGGGGGCCTGATACCAGGAATCAACAACTGGGAGGCATGATTTACATATTTTAAATCAGTCTTTCCTATAATGAATCTGTATTTCAGTTTGGAGGACTCATTGGCATAGGAGTACAGGCAAAGATGAGAAGGATCTGCTTGGACTCCTGGAGGGGCAGGAACCATAGAGATTTTAAGCTGTGATAAAAAGTTTTGCCCTCAGAAACACTTGAAATGAAGAAGTGAAAGAAGAGATTAGTAAGCGGAAACTTTTGAGGGTTATATACAAATATGTAAATAGGCTAATTGTGTAAACAAGCTCAAACTTTGTGCAAAGGCATTAGTATGTTACACTAGTAGTTTATGTACAGAGATTTTGTGGGAACTTGACCTCATTGCAATCATCTATTAAACGTCTTTCAGAAAACACATTTAGCTAATTTTATTTTCCAGGTGGTCAGGACGCAATCATCGAGAGAAGATTGGTGTACATGTTAGCTTTGATCAGATACTAAATATGGAGCCCTACTGCTGCAGCGAATCCCTCAAGTCCCTCTTACCCGACTGCTTTATCTATGACTTGTCTGCTGTGGTAATGCATCATGGGAAAGGATTTGGCTCAGGGCACTATACTGCCTACTGCTATAACTCAGAAGGAGGTACGGACAGACCATTCATAAAACACAAAAATATAATTTTAGTTTCCTTCTTGGAAACTACAGTTCTAGTTCCTTTGTAAAATCACTACAAACAGGGTCCTTACTTTCTTAAAATAAAATGGACAAACATTTACTAACCAGACTTTCAGGTGCCAAAATAACAGTTGTTTGGCCAAGAAAACTGAGAGAGCGCTAATCTAAAAAACTAGGGGGAGGAAAGGGGATAGTAAAGCAGCTGTGGAGAGCTTTAATTTGTTTAGTTTTTCCTGGTGAATAGCTGCATGTAAACCATAGTGTATACAATAGATCAGTCACTTCCATAAGTTTGCCATAGAAAAAAATAGAAGGCTAAATTGTGGTTTTGGTAAAATTTAGTGTTGGTGCTTTAACCAGATGAAAAGATGTGTTTTGTTTCAGTGCATACATACAAGGAATTCTCACTTTCAGAGAATTGTTTTTAATGAATCGTAGTAGACACTAAATTAACTGAAGTACAATGCAGGACATTGATTTAAGATACTGGATTACTTTACACTGAAATATTACTTCATTCTAGGATTTTGGGTACACTGCAATGATTCCAAGCTCAACATATGCACTATGGGAGAAGTACGCAAGACTCAAGCTTACATCTTGTTTTACAGCCAGCGAGTTACTCAGGCAAATGGACACTATAAAGTACCATGTCCTATCTCACCATCTGAAAGCCAGGAGCATACAGAAATTGACCATCTGAAAGAACACAGTAGCAGCTAATCCCAAGCCAATATGCCATGTACAGTAAGAGTTTAGTCATAAATTGCATATATTTTTAAAGAAAATTCAAGTACAGTATTGATTTTTTTTTTTTAAATCATTGGTACACTATGTTTTACACTTTTGTACTAGCTAAAGCAAGCACTCTATTAGTATAAATTTATATGGACAGTAGGTAACTTTCAAAGTACCTAAAATTTCTATATAGCTATTTTTTTAAGAAGTAATTGCAATTTGAATTTAACTCTTACCTCAGGCTATTTTTAAGTTCTGTTTTTATATTTTTATAATCTTTGAATTGGTTTAGAAAAAAATGAATCTCAATTTACAACTGATTTGTCTAATTCTGGTTATTTTTCTATATATTTTTATACATTTTATAGGATAGTTCTTACAGTATATTGATTCTTACTGTCTACAGGCATTAGTATAATTCTTAATAGTTAACATTTTACCAACAAAGAGTTTCTAGCAAATAACAGATAGAAGCAAAACTGTTCTTTAAATTATTAGGATTCCCCTGCCTCCCAGAACACCCCTTCCCCAAAAATCTCTCTTAAGTAATGGATAAATTGGTCCTCACCATTTTCCCCACTGGTGCCTGTGAAACAATATTGAAAAGAAAGATGCCTACAAATTCATGTCTGATTTTAAATTTTACTCTTAAAAGATTTCAGAGGGAAACAATAGCTCGTGCTTATTTACACAACAGTGTATTTTCTGAAAATGGGGGTGGGGGAAGCAGAAGTTACTAGGATTTTGGCTGAAATTAAGGGATTGTAAAATTATTAATTAGACATCTAAACTCTAGGGAACAAGATTCCTTATCTAAAATGGTTAATCTTGTCAGTGAAGAAACGTGAGAAAATCTTGGTAAGAGGTTAGGCTTCTAAAGCACATAAAACTCAAAACATTATGGGTATCTGTCTATACATGTCCTCTGGGAGGAGTGGGGGGTGCTTTAATTAGAGCAGCTCTGAGCTGCTCTAATTAAAGCACCTGCAGTGTCATGTGTGTTCAGTGCCCCGCACTTCAAAATGGTGTCAGGAGCACTTTAACTAAAGCTCATTAAATGAGCTTTAGTTAAAGCAGCCCTGCAGCCATTGTGAAACATGGGGATGCTGAATACACATGATGTAGAGGCTCCTGGAACGCACTAGTTAGCATGCTCCAGCAGACTCGATCCTAGCATGCTCCCATGCATGCTAATTGGCACATTCAGAGCAGGGCTCCATCATGTGTATAGGTGCTCCACATTTCCAGGTTTAAAACTGTTTAAACATGGTAAATTAACTGCACTAAAATTGAACTTGCATAAATGATATAGAGTGTAATCTTCTACATTTTGATTTATGCTTCAATATCTCTAACTCTCATACTTTGTTTCATTTTTCTTACTGTTAGTATTAGTTTTCTGTGCATTCAGGAGAATTTACTGGGCCTGAAGCCTGTGCCTAATAAAAAGTCAACTTTTCCCTTTATTGTCTAGCTAATGTCAAGATTAGTTGTTTGTGGTGCAAGATTATTTCTCATAAAACCTATGCAAATAGTTACCTCACCTGTTAGAAAATTACCTCAAACACATGCATATGTACATACACACAGTGTGGAAAGCAACTGTTTTACTGAGATTTTAATTCTGATTACTTGTATCTAGTTTCAATTATAAAACAGCACCAGGTATAAATCATCTTTTACTGGAATAACTACTGAAGGAAAATAAAGCATTAAAACTGTAGGTAGGTAAAGAGCTCTGAAGCATTGCACACTTTTCTTCTTCTACCACTGTCTGTAAAATTAATGGATTAAATATGGTACCCTGATACTTCAACTTTTGTGTGTCTTGGTTTTGAGGTAAGAGTTGGTTTTGTACTACCACTGTAGTAAATGAAGCACCTTCCACATAAACTTGATAGAAACAGCAGAGCAGGCTGGATTTCATGGCCTCTCTGGTTTTCTTGTTATGATTATTCCTACCTCTTGTGCAATCAGAATAGCAGTTCAGTATTTCCTATAAGACCAAATCTCCCCTGCTGTTACCTTGAGGGGTTCAGAAGGTGTCAGGGCTTTGCCCCATATGGAACTAATTCCCTAACCCCTTTAAACAGTGTGCATTTTGGTCTGTTGCTTGCACTGTGTGAATGCCATTTCATATCTGCTCTCAGCCTTTATATACATGCAAGTAGAGAAAAAAATCTCAGACAGAATGGCTGCTAGGGCCCCTGTAGTCCATAAAAGAAAAAGAAAAAAAAAAAAATCAGATGTTGGGACTCACTCCTTCAGAGCTAAGCAACGGTGACAGTATTTCAGCCATCCAGGTTCCTGAGTGGATAAGCAAATCCCTTTGGGAGGAATTTCATTCTTCAACAAGAATGAATAGGTTCCTCTTCGGTGATTAGCAAGGGAAAAGCCTAATAACTGGAGAGGAATTGCAAAAGTCAGTTCATATTTCCCCCTCCATACCAATAACTACCACAATACAAGACCTCAAAGACAAATGGAATAAATGAAATAAATAGGGGAGAATTTCATAGTTTCTAGGGTCGGAAGGGACCTGGGCAGATCATCTAGTCCGACCCCCTGCCATGGCAGGAAAGAGGAACGGGGGGGAAACGA